GCTGGCTCCTAGGTGTGAGGGGGAAGAACCCAGGTATCCCCACTAGCTCCGCACTCCCATTGGCCGGGAACCTGCTGCCGGCTGCTTCTGGGGTGCAGCCTGGTCTGCAGGGCCAGGACAAGCAGGAAGCGACGTCTAATTGCAATACCTAGCGAATCTTTTGGGGAAGGCAAGTCTGCTAGAAAGGACTGCCCCTGCCGCTCCAAGATGTGAGCCACCCTGCCCCCACACACCCCCTCTGGCAAAACCGGAGAACCGATTGGCCATTATTTGTAAGGGTAGAAAAAGCCCCCTCCATGTAAAGTCAGGCCTTCCATAGCCATCAGAAAGATCAAGTCCTGTTTCTGAGACTCCACAGCAAGACCCCTTTGAGTGAGAGAAGTAAATATCCCTTGTACCCACCTGGTTTTCGGTGGCTGGCACAGACCTCGCTGTGGTGGGCAGAGGCCTGGGTTATAGGCTGTGCACAGAAGAGACGCCAGGCAGGACTCTGACTCAACGCGATTCCAATATGTGAACCGCCATCCCTGAGCTGGACCGAACCGGCTCAGCGGGTTGCTGCTCTTTGGAGATTATTCCCGCCCTCGAGCTCAGAGCTACGCACACGAGGCCTGACTGGCCGAGGAGTAACAGCAGCGTCACACCCGGCATTGCAGAAATGCAGGAGGCTGTCCCGAATTCTTATGGGCAGCCCCAAGGTCCGGGCGGAGGAAATCCTACGGTATCAGCGCCGGGGGTAGGCCAGACTCGCCTCAGCTGCACTACGGCCCGTTTGGAATGGCTCCTCTACGAACCCGGGCCGGCTTGGACAAAGCGCTTTGTAGCTGACAGCTCATCACCAGGAACCCTTTACCCCTCAGACTGGGCTCTCCCCGGCCTCGGACTTACCTGTGCCCGCTGTGCTTTGCCACGAGAGCCATGTGCTGAGATTCTGGAAACCGAGGGCCTCTTCGTCATCTCCCAGCCAGGCCTAGGGCCCCCGGGTTGCAGCTGGAGAGGGGAGAGTGTTGGGGAACATACCCCACGGGCCAGGGGCTTCTTTGCCTGCTGTGGGGGGCGCCGCGCTCCCACATAAGAGAAGTCCCCTCCAGGAAAGGCGCCCGTGAGGACAACCCCCGCCCCCACGAGGGCAGGCGGCCTGCACACACAAGCAGCCTCTGGTCTCCTGACCTGAGTGTGAATCTTTGGCCAGGAGGCTCGTATCCCCGCAGCCCCTCGAGTCTCACACAACGACACTGGCCCCCCTCCTCCCCAGCAAGGAAAGCCCCGGTTATAGTAACCCCCCTGCAAAGGCGCTGTTGCTACCTCTCTGGCGCCTGCCTCCAAGGGGCTTGCTGCTTCTTTGGACCAGTACGGGGCTTGGCCTTGAACCCCAACCCAGGAAGGACTCACCCAATCACCCTTAGCCCGTGCAGGCCCGCCAAGCTCTCTCAGCCCTACCGAACCCCTTCCCAGCCGGGGCAGACATCAAACGGGCCCCGGGCAGGACAGGCAACCCAGCTCCACCGGCAAACAGCAGGTTCCGCTACAGTCATCAGAGGAGTATTTCAGCCCCCCAGAACGAGCCGCTTCCGGGCTATGGCCCAGCTCTGCGTCAGTGGTTGAGTAAGACGCTATCAATCACCTGTTTACAGCACGTCCTTGGCCGGCATGTGGGAGCTGACGCTGAGGAGGAGGAGGAAGGCATCCTCCGCGGTTATTGGCCGGCGGCAGCATTCTGGGGAGGGACGGCTCCGCTCAGCCCTCGTGCCCGAGGGGCGGCTGGGCCAAGTGCGAATGGCATGCACCAGAAGAAGGGAGACAAGACACAGCTGCCTTTGCAGGGGAAATGCTGGCTGAGAGCCACCCTTCCATGCAAGGCAGGAGCCAGGCCTCCCACACAACCCTTTGGGATAGTCAGGGACCCAGTTCCGGGTTGCAGCTCACTGGCTGTGAAACCCGAGGCGAGACGGCTCCGGGTGGGAGCCGCAGTCACGAGCCAGCCAGCTGACAGCAGCACGGGGCGAGTCGGGGCACAGCCTGCCCTGTAGCGGTTTTCTGGCACCCTCGCTCTGCAGTCTCAGAAATGGAGCCGGGGCACTTTGCAGCTCGCCCGGAACAGCGTCCCTGGGTTTCTCTCACTGCCCTGCGTGTGCGCTGTGCTCCCCAGCCCCGGGGCGTGTGCTGGACACCGGCTTTTTTAGCCTCCTCTGGCTGCAAGAGGGGCTGCTTACAAAGACATTACAGCCGGGCCCTAGCAAAGAGCACGTGGGTTGGATGCCAGCCAGCGGTGGCTGCTGCTACCCTCCTTCCCGGAGCAGGTTGGGACTCACCTCCACAGCGCCTCCTGCTGGCCGGCCTGGGAACTGGCTTTTCTTCCACCTCATGGTGGTCTCCGTGGCTTTATCTGCTCCATTACCTACTTTGTGTAAATGTCTCCACTGCTCGCCAGGCCCCATGTCCCTCCCAGCCCACAATACTGCCCTCCGCAGTGCCCCACACTCTGGAGTCCTCCCCCCCCCAGAGCCCAAATCCCCTAGGCCCACTGTGGCTCAGTGACTCACTGCCAGTCATCATCAAACCCCTGCATCACAGGGAAACTGCCATCTGAAATGGCCACTCAGCACTTCAAAGGGGGCCGGGGCCTGTGCCCGCCCCATAGCCTTGCTACCCCTCAAACCTCAGCCTGGAAGTTTGCCTGCCCAGAACTCCCCAGCTCTGTCTCAGGAACCCTCTAGTCCACCAGGCAACTCAGGCCCTTCCTGCTCTACAGCTGGAGCAAGACTGAGCTCCTGTGCACCAGCAGCCCTTCTTATAGGGCTTGGCCAGGCCCTGATTGGCTGTCTCCAGCCCTCTTCTGATTGGGTGCCAGCCCCAGCCTTCACCCAGGGCTGTTTCAGCCCTTACGGACCTGCCCTGTTACACTTCCCTTCGTGTGGGGGTATGCAGCCTACAGCTGGGCTCCTCTGCGCTCTGATAGGCACTCAGCAGGAGAGTGGCTTTGGAAATGTGGGCCCAGGCACAGAAATAGCGCCCCAGCGGGAGCTGGCTAAACACAAAGCGTCGCATTCCCTAGAAGGCCCTTTCTGAGTCTCTAATTCCTGCTAACTCTCCTCCTTGTGGATTAACTCTTCATAGGCCTCTTTTCCCAGCAGGCCTTTCTGGGGTTAGCCCTCTACGCGGGGAGAAGCACAGCAGCTGTGGCCCTAAAGTGGCCGTTTTGCAGCTAGAAGTTGTCGGCCGGCTGCATCTCTCTTTCTCGTCCGGCTGGGAAGGGGCAGTCTCGGCCCTTGCCTGTCTCCCTTCCTGGTCGCAGAGGAGAAAGCCACAGGCGCTTCCCCTGAGGTTAGCGGCGCCGGGCAAAGCAGCAGGATCGGGCCCAAGCTGCATAAATATTTGCACCCGGATCCACTTGCTCTGGCGTTGCTCTGCAGCACGCCCAGGGCAATGCTGAGCAGCATGTTATTAGGTTCCCAGCCTTCCCATACAATGAGGGGACCAGCGGGCCATCTCTGTTTTTTTTCATCCTTGTGTGGAATAAATTTTGTTATGCGCGCCGAGGCCTGCCAGATGTGCACCACCAGTAGAGCTCTAAGTGCTTGCACAGGGCCTCATCCTGCACACGACCCAGTGCTCCCAGGGAGGTGCAGAGCTCTCCCGGCTCTCAGGGCAGCCAGAGAGTTGAAGGGAGGCTCAGGCCCACTCCCGAGGCAAAGCAGCAGGATCGGGCCCAAGCTGCATAAATATTTGCACCCGGATCCACTTTCGCAAAGGTTGCTCTGCAGCACGCCCAGGGCAATGCTGAGCAGCATGTTATTAGGTTCCCAGCCTTCCCATACAATGAGGGGACCAGCGGGCCATCTCTGTTTTTTTTCATCCTTGTGTGGAATAAATTTTGTTATGCGCGCCGAGGCCTGCCAGATGTGCACCACCAGTAGAAACATGTGCTGCCAGGTGCGGGTGCTCTAATCAGCAGGAGGCATTTGAATCTGTCCTAGGTGGCTCCCAAAGCACTCAGCTTTCGTGAACGCAGGTGGGGACTGGGAGAGTTAGCACTGATGAAAGGGACTCTCAGGAATCAGCAAGCTGGATGGGGAGCTGCTCCTAAACCCCTTTGACCAGGGCCTTAGCTTCTGGCCAACAGGCCTGTGATAGGTGCTTCTCTCCGGCTGGGATCCTTTCCCAGAGTTAGGCGCCTTGGCCTGGGCAGTCCAGTATTGGAGCTTTCTGTTGGGGAAACAAATGGAGACAATAGATCTGTCCGGTATTTTCGAAATCCGATGGAATGTCGATTGTGATGTCATGTCAAGCGTGTCTGGGATTTTTGTTGAAACCATCTGGCAACCTGTCTTGATGGACAGGTTCTTTGCGGCCCTGCCGCCTCTGCACGGCCTGCCGGGGTGTCCGACAGGATCCCAGGTGAGCGCAGAGCATAATGGACAGCCTTGCGCTCAGCGGAGCCTCCCCCGACGCTTGAACACCTCCCCTGGGGGCCGTGACTTGGGCTGGGCCGGGCGATGCTGGGTAGCTGCGGGGGAGGGCCGTTCGGGACCCAAGCGTTGCCTGTCGCCCGGAGGAAAGAGGACGCGTCTCGCCGCGCGCTCGGCACAGGCATCGGCTGTCGGGAAGCGCTTCTTAGCAGTGTAGCATGCTGCAGGGCGTGCGCCTTGCCAGCAAACGAGCGACCTCCCTTCCCATGCGGCAGAAGGGCTTTCTACACAGGGGGCCTGCAGGCAGGGGGAAGGGGAGGGGCAGGGCCGTGCCAGAAGCAGCCGCCTGCAGGATGCATCTCAGCTCGCAGGGCAGATTAGATTCCCCTCCAATTAACGGATTGTCACCGTTACATCATCTCTTTGTCCTTCCCCTGGAATGGCTGAGTCCCGGCTTTTCCCTTTTCGACAGGAGGGGGGAGGCAGCTTTCAGAACCGACCGGGCGCGATGGCATCCCCCAGCACCCGTGCAACCGCCCCCCCTGCCACCCTCCCCCGGCTGCCGGAGCGCCTCGCGCTCTGAAATACAAACCCCACGCTGCCGGCGCGCCGACCGCATTGCTCAGTAAGCTGCCCTCCGCTGTGGACCAGCTCTCTCCGAACGGGCAGCCTGCGCAGAGCGGTGAGCCTGGGCCCTTTTCTCTCGGGCTTGTGCCGGTTCAACTCTGGTCTGACTCCCCCCCTGCCACCCTCCCCCGGCTGCCGGAGCGCCTCGCGCTCTGAAATACAAACCCCACGCTGCCGGCGCGCCGACCGCATTGCTCAGTAAGCTGCCCTCCGCTGTGGACCAGCTCTCTCCGAACGGGCAGCCTGCGCAGAGCGGTGAGCCTGGGCCCTTTTCTCTCGGGCTTGTGCCGGTTCAACTCTGGTCTGACTCTCGTCGAGTGGGAAGCGTCTGTGCAGAGGAAAACACAGCCAGGGGCCGCGCTTGGACTCCTGCTCGGGCTGTATTAATAACACTGATGCACGGCCAATTAGAAGCAGCCAGGGCTGGCCCTTGTGTCTCTGGCTCTAGTGATTTATTGACAGTAATTACTGAGGCACTTAATGGCTAGTTTGGATGGGAATTAATTCTGGGCTGGATAAATAATGCATTAAGGTTTATTTAGCTAAATGCACGGCATCTCTCCGGAGCCAGTCGCGGGAGTGGATCTCGGGGCGAGGCTGGGCCGTGATGAACGGCAACAGGGCGAGGAAGCTAGGAAGGTGGACGGCAGCATGCTGACGGCTGAACCGGAGGGGACGCCGGAACCAGGAAGATGCTGAGTCCCAAGATCAGGCAGGCCAGGAGAGGTGAGTAAGGATCTCGTGTATCTTGGGGTTTGCTCTCTGGAAAATACATGTGTGAGTGTGTGTGTGTGGGGGGAGTTGTTCCAAATCAGCCGCAGAAGGAAACTTTTTATTCTTGTCCACAGTCACCCATCAGCTGACTCTTTGAATTTTGCCCTGTAAGGTGGCTCGTGGGCACTTTCATCCCTGTGCCACCTTCAGGAACGTGTGTTGTTTTTTCAAGAGACTCCGCCAAGCCAGGCCGGCGCTAGACCCGTTGAAACGGGCAAGAAGGCACGCCATCCATTGGAACCATTTACAATTCTTTAAATCCAGATCGGGTGCGTTCCTGAAGGAGCTGCTCTAGGAATGACCGTGGGGCGTGTTCTCTGGCCTGGCTTACAACGGAAGTCAGATGAAATGGCCCCTTTTTGCGTTGGAGTCTGTGACTCTACGACAGCCCTGCCGGCTGAGCGGCTACCCTGTTATCTAGTGTGCCAACCCCCCATGACGCTCCAGCGCCGAAGCGACACATTAAAACTACCGGAGTGAGGGAGTTATTCTTGCAACCGCACTTAGTTCAAGCAGCTGTTCCTTTTCTGCCTGTGACGTGTGTGTGTGTGTGTGGAGGGGGGCGTTGATCTGTTGATGGGGAGGATTTTCAGTTCAGAATTGCAGCTGCATCCCTGCTAAGCTGCCCGGGGTCCAAAAAAGGGTTCTCGTGGGCAGCGGGAGCCGTTTCCAGGGCGTTTCTCTGGCACCAGGACGTGCCACCGAATCTTTACACTTGAGATCAGCTGGAGAATGGTAGATTTGCCCAAAGCATCCTGAAGTAGTTTTGACCAAGTAACCTAGCACCTGACCCCCTCTAGCGAGGCGGGCGGGGGAGAGTCACTCTCGGATTGCTGCTGGAAACGACAAAGAAGGGCAAACCGGTCCTGTGTCTGAAACATCCCAGAGTCACAAGCTACACCTGTGCCATGTTACAGAACCTCTAGGACTGGGTCTACACTCCTGCCCATCAGGGGGTATCTTCTAGCAAAGGGGAGGCATTGTGTGATCCGGGGCTGCCCTTCACAGCAATCCCGGGGCAGCTGAAACAGTGAGGAGCTCAGCATCATTTAGACTCGACAGTCAGGAAGCCCCGTCATCTGGGGGCAGACTCGAACCTGGGAACCTCTGGAGTTCAGCTGCAGGAGCGACACGCCAGCTGGCTCTCAGCTGAGGCCGTAGAGCAGAGTCATCAGCCTCTCTGTACGCGGTTTGGGGGCCACCCCATGGGACAGAGCACCACCCCCGGGGGGGTGTGGGTTACATCTACACTTCAGACGCTCACGTGTCGCCACTTCCTGCAGCAATGGGCTGGGGCGTGGAGGGAGATTTTGTAGTTAATCCACCCCCTGGAGGTGGTAGCTAGCAGGCCCATACACAGGGGGGCAAAGGTGCAAAAGCCCCCCCCCCCTTGGTCCTCCATGGTCCCCTGTGGGGCTGATTCTGGCCGGTCAGGGGAAAGCAGGCGCAGCGCATTGGACCAAACGCAGACTGGGACGGATTCCCCCCGCCCAGGGGGGGCCTTGCTCCTGGGGGGGGGGTTGGGAAATCAGCCCCAGCCTTCTCCCGGCTGGCCGGAGCACGCTTCCTTGGCGTTTACAAAAACGCCCCCCGTGAAATTCCTGCGTACGGGCCTGCTAGGTGGATGGAAGACGACGTCTGTCAGTCTGTCTCCAGAGACCGCTCCGCAGAGCTCCGGCTCGCTGGGGGGCGGGGGGGATTTTTCACGTGGACGCAAGTTTTCAGGGGAGACCAGCCAGAGTTTTCTTCAGGCGTCTTTTTTGTGAAGCGGGAACTTGCCGGCAGTTTACAGAGAAGGGAGAAGGCTGTAACAATGGGATAGTCACCTGCAGTGATTCCGAGAGGGGTGCGTCTGGGTGAACGTCCCTGTGGCTCTTCCCTTCCTTCTCTTCCCTCCCCGCCCAGCGCTCGGTCCTGTGGCTTCTCTCTTCGGTTTCTCCCCCTGCCACTGGCCTGGTGAGCTGTGCTGGCTAGCACTGCCCCGTGGGATGGAAATACAGGAAAACCACGTGAGAGGTGAGGGCCATGTGTTGGGGAAATGCCATTTCTCGCACCCCAGCAGGCATTTCTCTCACGGGTGCACATTTCTGCTGCGCTTAAGCATATAACACATCCATCCTACGCTTCAGTGTAGTGTTTAAAGTGGTAATTAACCCATTAAGGGCCCGGCAGTCACCCTAAGGGACGGCCTTGTAAAATAGGGGCCAGCTGTTTGCGCAAGTGGGACACTCCATAAGAACATAAGAACGGCCGTACTGGGTCAGACCAAAGGTCCGTCTAGCCCAGTGGCCTGTCTACCAACAGTGGCCAGCACCAGGTGCCCCAGAGGGGGTGGACCGAAGACAACGATCAAGCGATTTGTCTCCTGCCATCTCTCTCCAGCCTCTGACAAACAGAGGCCAGTGTCCGTGCCTGACACTTTCTCAGAAGTCACAGGGGGCAGGGTGGACTCGGTCCCCCGCCACAGAAGAGGGCAGTAGAGAGGTCCTCCAAGTTGCCTAGAGAGGTTGGGTGGGAAGTAGCCAATCAGGGGCCAGCAGGCCAGTATAAGAAGAGCTGCAGGGCCAAGGTGAGATCAGTTCCTCCCTAGAGCTGGAGGAGTGTGCCTGGCTGACTCCAGAGGCCGAGGGGAATGCAAAGAAGCTCTGGGCAGGCTGTTGCGACTCCAGGAGGGCAAAGCCCTGAGGCAAGGTGAAGAATGTGAGGGAGCCACAGGCAAGCGGTGTAGAGAATTAGAGCTGCAATGCAGCGCAGGTAAAAGGACATGGCACGGCTGCTAGCTAGAGGGCCTCTGGGCTGGGACCCCATGCAGCGGGTGGGCCGGGGTCCCCCCACCAACCACAGAGGAAGTGCCCTGGACTTTGAGATGAAGAGGAGCTGGAGGCGCCTAGTGAGCCAGCTGCAGAGCTGGGGCCAGAAAGGCCTGGAGAGGAGGAAGACGCTGCCTCCGGGGCAGGACCAGAGACAACTGGAGAGAGGAGACGGTGCGGAGAGAGGCCGCTGCTGGACTCGTACCCTGGAAGGGGTTTGCATGGTTTTGGTTTCACATCCAGATTGCATCTGACTCAGCCGTCGTGCAGAGTCCCTATGGCCCCACTGCCGAGACAGAAGGCCCAGCCTGAGATCTGGGGTGCTCGCGAGAGGTGAGTGCACCCAGGGAAGGGGATTTAACCCCTTCCTGGCTCACCCCAGGGCAGCGGGCATCACACAGGCCTCTGGGAGGGCACTGGTGCAGCATCTCGGACTTCCTGAGAGGAGGCCGGGCCCGGGTTGGATAGCTGGGGGCTGCCCCTAGTCTGGAGCCGAGCCCCACCCTGAAAGGTGTCTCCAGGCACCCTCCCCTTCTGGTGCCTCATTCAGGGAGGGGGAGCCGGGTTTAACCCCCTGTGCGCTGGGGCCCGGGCCAAGGCTTGGTGAGGTGCCTGCATCAGCATGCTTGCTTTGGGCAGGTGGGTGGGCGGGGTGGGGGGGTGCCCCAGCTGTCTGGGGCCTGGCTGTTGATGGGGGGAGGTCACGTTGCAGCGTCTCACTTGAGGGGAGGTGGTACAGGAGGGGGACATGCCCGGGGGGGGGGG